TTGATGATGAAGATTTACCATTACTTAATGAAAAGCTCTATCCGCGACGAGGTCTTCCACCATTATTAGAAAAACTTAATGAACGTCGTTTAAAACATTCAATTGATTATCTCGGTGTATCCTATGGTCTTTCAGCTGATTTATTAAAATTTTGGAAAAAAAATCAATTTTTGCCAATATATCTACGTCAAACAGCATCAGAACTTACAGGCGAATATTCCTGTATAATGCTTAAAACAATTCATCAATCAGGTCAAGCACCATGGTTATTTTCTTATTATCAAGATTTTCGTCGTCGATTATTATCATTACTTGGTTTTCAATTTCGAATTTTTACACCAGGCATGGTACTTAATTTAATTCAACAAGCTGTTTATCCAGAAATAAAAGAAGGTTTGTAAAAAAAAAATTAATTTCAAATGAATTTATTTAATATTTCATTTTCGTTCAGAATTTACGGTTTCATTAATTGAACAAAATTTTACCGATTATGATCTTCGTCGTTTAGAATCATATACAAGAAATTTAGTTGATTATCATTTAATTCTTGATCTTATTCCAACACTTGCAAAGCTATTTTATTTAAATCGTCTTCCAATACAATTAACTGTTGTTCAAATGGCATTATTATCTGGTATTGGTCTTCAATATAAAACAATTGAACAACTTGAAAGTGAACTTAATTTATCACAATCACAACTTTTAGCTCTATTTAATAAACTTATTAAAAAAATTATTGATGTAAAATTCATGTTTTTCGTTTTTGATAAAGATTATATGTAAAATTTCTTTTTGTATTTTAGTTAATCAATTCAGTACAAGAAAATGAAATAGGAAAAACATTCGTCAATTCATTAGATACTGCCAATATGCAACCATTAGATAAATCACTTCGACAAGAATTGGTTTGTTAATTTGAGTTTATTTCTTTTTATTTAATACTATTTTATGAAACACAATTTCAATTGAAGAATAACAGTCTTTCGATAAAGAGTGCTGTCTAACGACAAATTCTATAGCCCCAATATTTTGCCTACAAAGAATACTAACTGTTACTCTGAGTAGAAGGTTAGTCTGACGTAAAACTCTTACGTTCCTCATATATATTAATTAACCATAAGAGCAAATGTATACGACAACCTGGTCAACTTACTATCGGGCAAACGATCTAAGATGAATAGCCGCTAGTGACTTCTTCAGGGTCATTGTATAGCTGACGGTACCAATGTTTGAATATAGTATTTTTTGTGAGATCTACCAAACAGTGCAGCTATTTACCAATGAACTAAACCCACTGGCACCCGTCACTTGAGCTCATATTAGATTTACAGATAGGCCTCAGTAAAACTAGTAAAAACCTTGAACAGTTTGTCCTCATAAGTCTTTGGTAGCCAGTTATGACCAGTTTATTGGATTGTCGACCCATTTTAAATACGTTCTAAAAACATCAAATAACGGAATTTCGATCCATAGCTACGCTCATTGACTCTTAGAATATTCTGAAAGTTTCAATCGAAAAGAATTTTCTTTAACCGAGTTATTTACTTTTCAGGTGAAACCAAATTTTATTACATGTCCGTAGCAATGAGCTGCTCTGGAAAATTGAATATCTTGACGAAGGAATATTTTTTTTTTGGCTGAAACTTTCAAGATACTGTAAGAGGCATTATACGCAACTATGGAGTCAAACTTCGTTATTTGACTTTTCGAGGGGTACCTAAAATGGGTCGAAAATCCAGTAAACTGATCATAACTCGACCTTGAAGACCAATGAGGACAGACACTTTCAGTCTGTTTTTAATCTCACTGTGATCTATCCGTCGGTCTAGTATGAACTGAAATGGCAGATGTCAGTGGGGGTAGTACTCAGGTTAGCCCTGGCGGCTCCAATCTAAAAGAAGTATTGAAGTATATTGATAAAAATGTAGACCCACAATCTACTTCTTCATGCTATAACATCAAACACTATATATCAGCAAAATCTCATGACTACTTCCTTATTGCATTTCTACCAGATTAGGTAAAATAATGGTGAAGAAATATGGCCCAAAATACATAACATAAATCTCTGTGATTAAAAAACGCAGATCAACTGTGTTTCATATTGAAATTCTGCATGTGTTGCAATAATTGCCTTTTTTCTTAAATGTAGAATGAAGTTGCTGCAACAATTCGTAATCGTCAATCAGAAGAATTAGATCGATTAATGCATGATCAACAATTATCAAAGTATGCTGTTAATGGTAGTGAAGAAGTTTGGAAAGAAGAATTAAGAAATATATCTGATCCAGGTGTTATTTCAATACCACGGTCAGTTAAAAATAAAATTAAGAGTTTATTTTTTATTTTATTTTTCTTCTTTTTCTTTAGATCATTAAACAAACGAAAAGACGTTGAAATCGAAAGTCATTTTGATTTGCCGAAACAAAAATCGAAAAAGAAAAAAAATAAAAATAAATAAATTTTTATTGTTTAGAAAAACATGCGTTTATGTGTATGTTTTTTTTTCTGTGTGAAGAAAATAAAATTGTTGAACTGATTTCAAAAAAAAAAAAAAAAAGATATTATTATAAAATATTGATCATTTATTTTGATCCGTAGATTTAGTTTATTTTTACATGGCTACGAAAGAAAAACTTGAATTTCCATCTCCACCTACGTTTTTTCAAATGATTGAAGATCTGGAAATGATGTCATCAGATGAAAAGACTTTTAGTTTATGTCAATTTGAACAATTGGTAGAGCAAACTAAACAAGAAGGTATAGAAACAAAATAAATTTTCTTTTTTTGTTCTTATGATAATTCTATTGAGTATTGGCTCTAGTGTTACAAAAGTTTCTTTTGCATCTCTCACAATCTATTCTCTCAAGTTAGAAACAATAAATCTCATACCAAAGATGAGATCAGTTCGTGTTTTTTTTTCAAATCAAACCAAATTGAAGCTTACAGATAAATTAACAAAAGCTATTTAGTGCAATTCCTGAGGAATTAAAATGTAAAACATGATGTAGCTGCTTTGATTAATCAATAGAAGATTGTTTTATTCTAGCTATATTAGGACAAATGTTTTCATCACTCTTTTACTTCATCCTTCAGAAATGCAATAAAGAAGTGATTCATATGATGTTACAATGAGACGCTATTGATATAAAGTGTATGACGTGAGAGAAGAAAAGTATTGCTAAGACATTGCTTGGCCGTAAAAAGGTTGAAAGAACAAGTATTGACGTAGAGAATAGTCAAAAAATGCTTTAGAAAATTCTGACTAGTGAAGTAGTTACACGCTATATCGTATAAGATAATGCCAACATTCTAACTGCAATCAAGCATGAGCCAATGTGTTTTTGTTCATTAAGTGTAAATGATAGACCATGTAAGTGTTCTATAGCAATTTTAGCACCCTTTATAATATTGTTTGCCAAGATTGTTCATACGATGTTGATTTGCATTGAAATAACTAGCGATTACAAGTCGCTTAAATCTAGTGAAAATCGAGTAGTAGTAGATATGACAATAGAATTTTATTTGTATAATAGTTCTTTGTCGGACTCTTTTAGTTTTGAACTCATCAATTTACTGGACACATCACTTTTTTCAATATTTTTCCAGCACGTCAATGTGTCTATCTTGATTGGTCGATGCCATCTGTCATGACCTGTGGAGAATAGGTGCAAATTTTCTACGCTATATAATTCAACAATCCTTTTAGATCATGTTTCACGAAATGTATCAGAGTATTAAATATAAATGGAATCAATTCTTGTTTTTCTTTTGAATCAAAACTAATCCCATTTCTGCTTCATACTCAAAAGATTAGTTAAATATTCATTTGAAGAAAATAGAGAATGACCTACATTCGTTAGAAACACAAGCAGTCAAAAAAACACATCTCTATTTTAATGACTTGTGGTCTTTGAGAATATTCTGATCCTGAGTATCCTACGTTGAACAGATATCATGAAAAATGCTTGGATAAAAATTACAGCACGGTCCAATATTAGATTCTATAGTAGTGTTCACTCTACGAAGAGATCGATTAGGGGCAAGTTTTAGCATGTACGAAAAGAAACCTATAGGGTAAACAGAAACTTTTTCGATGAATAATTTTTCAAGTCTTTCAAAAAGCCTCACAAAAATACATGCAATATTTCTAGGCCCATATTCAAACTATGATTGCAACTTATAGTTTTTGGATCGCCTGAAATGCTTTCAAATAGACCAAAATAAACAAACATATTCACCGAAAACGACAACTAAGAACTTTCCGATCATCCATTATTAAAATCAGAATAATTTATTTATGTTATCTTATTTAGAAACAACGAATAACACTACAATTGAACAGACTTATCAACTTATTAATGAATTTCTAGCTCGATTAGAAACATTACAACGTCTTGATGCAAATTTAACAACTCAAAATGATACAACAAATGATCAACTTGAAAAAAGACTCAAAGATATTATTGAACAACTTCAATTGTGTCTAAATAAATTACAAACTAACACTTTTTCGAATAAAAAAACTGTTTTATCTGATAATAAAAATTGATAATGTAATTTTCTTAACCAAAAAAAAAAGAAAGAATGATATCTTGTTTTTTGTCTCCCTATGGACTCAAAAATAAAGAATCGATAGTAAACACATGGATTGATAAGAACGAACAAAAAAAAAAGACAACATAAGGTATAAACACGTATCACCTATAACGCTTTCATTGCTACAAACAGCAGCGACTAGAGATTATAGAATATCGAACATCAAGTTTTTTCTTCATTTTATATCGTCAAACAGAAAAAAAGAGGTAATTTACATAATATTTTATTTATCAAGGTGATTTTTTATTGGAAGCAACAAACAACAAAATCATTAGTTAAAACTAAAGATTCTCTTCCGTTTTTATGTATAGTAATATATTTTGAATGTAATTTAGAATTATTTCAACATAGTTTTTTTTTTATAAATTTTATGACTCTTAATTAACTAATACGCTTTAGAATGCGGAATGTAGCTATAATTGGTGGTGGTGTCAGTGGATTAATATGTATCAAATGTTGTTTAGATGGTGGTCTATTGCCAACATGTTATGAAATGACAAATGATATAGGTGGTCTTTGGAATTACGATGCCAATGCAATTGATGGTAAAGCCAGTGTAATGAAATCAACTGTTATTAATACATCCAAAGAATTTATGGCATTTAGTGATTATCCTCCACCAATTGAATATCCGAATTACATGCATAATACTAAATTATTAGAATACTTTCGTAGGTATACAACACATTTTAATCTTATGAAATATATTCGATTTCGACGACGTGTGACACGTGTTCAACCTGCTGATGATTATGAACAAACAGGTTGTTGGTTAATATATAGTATGGATGCAGAACAGAAAGATAAAGACATGATAGGTAATGAAACATGTGAAAAGTATGATGCTGTTATGTTAGCAACCGGACATCATGCTCATCCAAGATGGGCTAATTTCCATGGATTAGAAAATTTTAAAGGCATGTATTCTGATAATTTAGTATTTGTAACAAGTGGTCTGAAAATTTTAAGATAAAACGGTTTCTTTTATTTTTCGATCGATTAAAAAAAGCAGAAGAAATTTTAAAATCTTGAATTTGAATCAGAATATTGTGTTCTTGTTAAAGTTAAGTTCGCAATTTTTTTGCTGAGACGTATTGATTAGCGATAATATGGGCATCTCTAATTGATTTGAATAGGGTAGAAATAAAATTTAGTTCAAATAAATCAAAAGAAAGAAGATATGTTTATCGACAGAATGGTTATGTTGATTGTTAGTTTGTTGTAAGGTGCCTGTTAACAATGAAAATTTTGGCATGAGAGACACATTGACATTTCCATAATATTTTGATTTGTCGACTTACTAAAAGTAATTTGATCATTTCTAGATATTTTCATCCATACTTTGTTTTCAGAGCATTTAAGAATTGACGTATAACTTGTATCCTATGAAACTGACGAAAACTCTAGATCTAAAGTGAAATACAGAGGTTCAAGACACTTTTAGCATTTATTGATTATAGCGCTATAGAAAAAGAGACAAGTTTTAAAAATATATTATTAGATGTAGATTTGAATAGGCTACATTTTAGTATAGAAGATTTTGAAAAATTATCAATAACTAACTGGGAAAATGTTTTGTTATAAATTGAAATCTTCAAATATACTGTTAGAATTGGCTTCCATCGAGTAGCTCGGAGTCTATCTGTCGAGATTTATCTTGTTGTCAACATTTAAAATTTTGTCTTCTCATAGGTACTTTATTTATTTATTTTTGTTATGCTTGAATAGTGCTAGGTTGTTCGTACTTGAAATTTAAAATTTATAATAAAACATTTCTCTGGTTAGTAAATAATAATCTTTCAAAATTTTTTACACCAAAACGTAGCCAGTTCAATTCTACATTTGATGACATAGATTTAAAAATTGTCTCTTTTTTCGATAACAATATAATTGCCTTTTTCTTCACACTACAATTATTTAGATCTAGAATAGACGGACTATGTAGGTTTTGACTCGAATTTTATATAAGACTCAAAATATGCCATACATCTCTTTTTTTTCCCAGGAAACATGGGAGTAAAAAGTATCTTAAAGTTTTGCCATTCACTTTAGATTCTGATTCTAACCCAAGGTTCTACGAATTCTGTTGGTCCTTTTTTTAATCGGTCGAGAAATGAAGAGTAATATTTTGTATGAAAATATGCGAACCATCAATTATTCTCATAATCAATATGTTCAGGTCGAAAAATTCATAGTTGGCAATATAAGACTTCGCATGGTTTTGAAGATAAAAATGTACTTGTTATTGGTATTGGTAATTCGGGTGGAGATTTAGTTGTTGAATTAGGTCGTGTAGCGAAACAGGTATTCATAATGAGATTATTTTTAATTGTTATTCATTAATAATCAAAAAAAAATCAAAAGGTTTATTTGAGTACTCGTCGTGGTACATGGGTATTGAATCGTGTTGGACCTAATGGATGGCCATTTGATTTGTTAATGTCAAATGAAATTATTAGTGCAGTTCAAAAATATTTTCCTTCATTAACGAATTGGCTTATGGAAAGGGATATGAACCAAAAATTTAATCATGAAATTTATGGTCTTAAACCAAATCATCGTCCTTTAGGTTAAAACGTAGCATTTATTGAATATCTATAAGTTTCTTTGTCTTTATATAGAACAACATCCATTTATAAACGATGACTTAGCTAATAGAATCTTATGTGGTTCTGTTATAATTAAACCTGATGTTAAAGAATTTACAGCTGATGGTCATGGTGTTGTATTCAGTGATGGTTCTAAAGTTGATCATATTGATTGTATTCTTATGGCAACAGGTTTTAATATTGCATTTCCATATTTAGACGAAAAAATCTTAACTGTTAAAGATAATAGAGTAAGAAAAAATATTAAGAAAATCTTTTTATATCAGAAAATATCTTGTTTTTTCTTTTTATAGATTCGACTTTATAAATATGTTTGGCCATCTCATATGACTCATCCAACACTTGCTGTTATGGGTCTTATACAACCATGGGGTGCTATTAATCCTATAACAGAACTTCAAGCACGTTGGGTTGTTCGAGTATTTAATGGTGAATTAAAATTATCTTCATGTTTAAAAATGGATGAAGATATTGATGAGAAAATTCATCAAATGTCACAACGATACGTTGCATCATCACGACATACTGTACAAGTTGATTATTTAGATTATTGTAATGAAATAGCTAAACAAGTTGGTTGTCGACCAAATATATGTGAGAGAAAGGCAATAAATCTATTCAATAGTATTTTTTTTATTTTTATATTTAGTGAATTTTTTAATAAAGGATTTTAAACTTGGTTGGCATTTACTATTTGGGTCATGTACACCATATAGATATCGTTTAGAAGGTCCTAATCAATGGGATGGTGCTCGACAAGCTATTTTGACACAAAATGAAAGGTAAATGAAATTATTTATTTGATATTTTTTTTATTTACCCATTATTATATAGAGTTAAATATCCATTACGAGTCAGTCGTAAACAAGAACAAAATCAACAAAAAAAATTTGCAATAAATTGGACACCAATGTTTTCAATCGTTTTTTTTATACTAATATTCTTCATTATTTTTCAATGTTTTATGTAACTATCAAGCAGAGTACTTTTGAAGACTGCTAGGAGAAATATTTTTAATCAATTTTAAAAAACTTGCTTGTCGAAAATGACTCAGAAAAATAAACAAGGTTTCTGTTTTTGACCAACAATCTATCATGAACAATAGACAAATATTCAAAATACTGATGATTTTTCAGAAATTCTTTGAAAATTTCTTCCTTCATTATACTAAATTAGCATAGATAGATTGAGTATATCAGATTTACTACGATTCTTACCGTTAAACTTGTAGACACTGAAATCAGATGAAAATCATGCAAATTTACAATCTCTCGAAAAAAGAAGAGCTGTTGAGGCAGTCGCGATGGCGGCAGTATTACTATGGACATCTTTGCTATGAGTATCTTGAAAAGAGTTCAAGCTTATTGCTGCCGACGTACTGTCTTTTTTAGCGGTAGGCCATGGTCCCCTAAAAACGCCAGAAAAAAAATGAGCTTTGAATTTCGAGTTGAAACATTGTATAGACAATGGCCTTAAGAAGTACAGCTCATTGTGAAGGTTTCAAATTTTTTGACTGTGCCTATTCTGAAGTAGGAACATCGGCATTCACAGTTGTATATGAGTAATGTGAAAAATATGCATGCACTATAGCAGTATCTTGGGATGGAAGCAATCGAAAGATCTGAAACATTTACAACAGATTATTAAGATGCGTATAGTTCTAACACAAAAGCGATTTGACACTTAGACACGTTCTCTCGTTAGATTTGTATAATGAAGAGATACGAGGATGGAATTCATGTAATTTAGACCATACAAGTATTCAACAGTATCCTTAAACGTAAGATACGATCTTGTCTATTCTTGTGTTTTAACGAAGCTTTGTCTCTTAGAAACAAGAAAAAAGGTAAAGAAAAGTTTGATGGTTTGTATCATGAAAAAGCTTCATTTGTAATGGAAAGTTTTTTGAGATGTCATGACGCTTTTTAAAAAGAATGTGCCAACTTTTTCAAACATTAATTAGGAACTTCAGATGATTCGAATCAGGAATCTGTTCACAGAAAAAAAAGATCTTTGCTCGACCTTCACACTTAAATATTTCGTTTTATTGTTATGTTCTGTTTAAATACAGTAGAAGAGAGCATTTAAGAACTCAAGAATGTCTTTGACACTAAAACCATTAGTTGAATAAATTGATACAGAAACTAATTTGTTTATGCATTCAGTCCAAATATCGAGATATTTATATAATTAAAAGAAAGCCAAACAACGCCTCCGAAACTCCCACATAGACGATGAAAATGTTTGAATATCTAAAAATAACTTTCACAATAAAGTGCAGTATTTAGGATTTACATACCTATTGGATTCCTTGGATTCATTATATTTTCTTAGAGTTCGCTTTATTCTTGTCATTTTATTTCGATTTATTTTTGGTTTCGGAAATACTCAGGAGTGAAGAATTGGTGGCAACCAGTCATGTTCCATAATATATCTTCTTCATTAATGAAATCCCAAAAACACTTATATCATCAAATGATTTTATTGTGCCGTGCATGAATCAGCACTCAACGAAAATCATTCAAAATATTTGAAGTTTTAAAAAAGAATTGAAGCACTATGATAATTACTATTAGTTGAAGCACGTATATTAAGTGACAATAAAATTATAAGCAGATTGTCGAAGAGTATCAAATTCGCCAATCAACATTCCTTAGCAATGATAAAAAGCACATATTGGTGATTTGCATTGATGTCATTTGAGTTATATATATATGTCATTGGCCAATCTCGGATACAAGAATGGACTAGTCCAATACTGGATTAGTGAAGAAATTTTCATTAAAACCTCCATAACTGTCTACATAGATGTTGGATTGGAATTCTTATTGGTGAATTGTGTTGACACAATGGCACTTCAGGTGTTACAATCACTAATGAAAAAATTACGTTTGAACTTAAACATTCATGGATAACTTTCCATGAAAGCTGTTCTTCTGTAGAAACTTATCCATAACTTCATGAATTCTACTTTAATTTCTTCATTGTCGATTGCAAGACCTCAGATGCCATCGTGACAATAGAGTTCATCAACAATAATTTCAATCCAACATCTATGTAGACAGTTACGGAGGTTTTAATGAAAACTTCTTCCCTGATCCAGCATTGGACTAGTTTATTCTTGGATCCGAGATTGGCCTACGACATATATATATATGTATCATCAATTACAAAAAGACATACAAATAATTGATTAACATTTTGTACAAAAACAGTCAACAAGTATGTAATTACAAAGGTTTATCTAGTTAAAATGTTTCGTTAAAGTCACGCTAACCCTGATGAATAGTTTGTTATTGTCTCGCTATTCATTTTTACAGAAGAAGAATGGTATTTGTCATTTAGAATAGAATTCATTTAAAGAAGCATATAAATCAATAAGAATGAATGAATACCATAGCCTTGTATTCGTTTACCGACTCATCTTGATTGACAGTTGTTCTTCTAGGTCTTCTCAACTTGACTGATTCGATTTTCTCTGAAGACTAGCGAGACGAACAATGACATTTTTCATTTGATTAGAAGACGAAATCTAAATAGTATTAAAAAATATACGAAAATAACCATAAATTAATAAAATGTTTAGATGTCAATCGACGAAATTACTCGATACGAATAAATTTGAGGAACAAGTTATCCATCTAATCGACTATTGACAATGAGACTTTGTCTATTTTGCTGATAAATTGATTCAATCTATTTCTCTGACTTTCGTCTTAGGTTTGTAAGTGAATATTTTTCAATAAAAGATAATAACAAGTCATTTTCTCAAGTGTTTGAATCAGTTAAGATCTTATAAAGAAAAACCTTTGAGTATTTTAATACTGTTGTGCTTAAAACTCCTTCAGAAGAGGAAATTCGTGGACATTCTCATAGTTTCTATTTTTTTCACACAATTTTTATACGGAAGTGAAAGTCAAAATAAACATAGTTAAACTATTTGAATAAATTCTTTACCAAGCATCTTGTTAAAATAATAAAGAAAATTTATTTTCATATCGATATGGAACATTTCCAGTTTCTTTTCAAAACGTAAATTTCTGATCGATTCTTGACTCTATTTATTCTTATGAATATTTTCAGTAAAATAATAAACGAGGAGTCTTACTTTAAGAATCAACAACATCCCTTTACATTGACTATGTAAAAAAAATTCTATAGAAAAGTAGAAAGTAAAAAAGTATAGGATAGTTCGAAACCAAAGTTTCAACGTTACCATATAAAAAACAAACAAGCAGATACACACTTCTATTCATATGATTCATGTTAAAATATAAGCCTTCGAAATATTGTATTTCATATTATTTATGATCTATCGCAACAAGTAAAAACATTTCACAATAACAAAAATGTTAAGTAAATAAATATTAACACGTATATTCCATATAATCGCATGTTTGTTGTATGAAACATTCAATAACATTAACATAAAACATATAAATTACCTTAAGGCATTATTTTTTCTGTTTAGAATGCAGTAATTATTTCTTGCGGATAGATGCATTAGATATTGGAGTAAATCTTTAGTAGCTCTAGCAAACTCAATCGATGCAGAGATCCTCTTTGAACGTGTATTGTTGAATGACTTTAGACAATCCTGAACAGAGAGAGAGAATTTTCAATTAGATGTTTACGAGTGTCGAAGAGGTATGTCGAGAACACTTCAGTGTTGAAGAACTGTATTAAGTAAGCTTCGGCTAACTTCTCCAAAATATCCCAGAATAGTTTTTTCTAATAAAAGTTGTGACGAAGAGCGCGAGACAATGAAAAAAGCTTTGTTTAGTTTTTTTTGGACTAATTTCCTGTAGTCCAATCAAACTCACTCAGGATGCACTACTACAACTCTCTTATCGTTGTCTTGAAAACTACTAAATCTTCTTGTAAAACAACAAAATAGACGGCATATTATGAACGTACTGATCGCTCAGTTTCTTATTACATGTAACGTTCAACTAATGTCTTTGTATGATCTGCATTAACCATCTAATTCTATTCCTATGGTTCCATACATCTACATTTCTTATCTATTCAAATATTCTTTCATTGTACTCTAAGGACCTAAAGATTGTCAGTTGTTGCAAAATAAAAAAAAGAACTATGGATTATCTTATCTATATTTTTTAAATCAAATGAAAACTTATTAAAAAAAAAAGGTTTCTTTCTCGAAAGATTAAAATGATGTGGTCATGCGCTAGTTTTGAATTTATTTTTTTTATTGATTATGATTAAGAATATCAGAAGACTATCTAGCTCTCTTAGACTATTTACTGACTACATCTAACTTCTAGTAAATGTATTTGGTGTTTGGTGAATAATCGATGTGGCTAAAAATGAGACTATATTTATGTTACATATGAAAATTACAGGATGAATTCCATTGGATTTTACTGTAAGTCAAGGGAGGGAGAACAAACTAATTTCTATACTAAAAACAATAAGAAACCACGAGAAATCATTATAATGCCTTGGGGGGTACGAGTCATGACCGGAAGTGGTTAAAAATTATCGGAAATCATTAGAAATTACTTTAAATCATAGAAAATCTCCGGTACAAAGATTGAAAATGAAGCTCTGATTTCTAATGATTCTTCGTGATTGATTTTTATTTTTAAGCATTTTAGATGATTCCTATTGATTCATTATGAATCAAAGAAAAAACTAATTTTCAATAGTACGAATCATCAGATATCAAGAAATCAATTTGTTTCCCGTTGATCAAAACAAAATATCCTTATTAATCATGATTTACTCTAATAGACTGATGGATCTTACAAAATCCAGGATCCGCTTTTTTCGCCTGGATTATTCCCGAAGTTAATACTATTACTATTATGATAACTATAATAGCACATACGATATATACTCTTACTACTAGAGTCACACATAAGCATAACTAATTAGTTTTTAAACCAAGTCATATTTATTCTTCATTGTATGTATTCAATTTCTGATACATGAAATAATTAAATA